GGTGGTGGCACAGGGGTGATTTGGTGGTGATGGAAAACCCGCAGGGATTACAATCGAGATGGAAAAAAAAATGTGCAAAATGATGTAAAAATAAACTTTGTAATAAAAAAAAAGTATTCTTGGAGGAAATAATGATAATGATGAACAGCTATATCCCAGAGGCATTTTATGGGGTGGAGTGGAGAATGGGAGCAAAAACAGGAGGGAAATGCCCTGGACTATGGTGATGGCACATGGGTGATTTGGTGATGGGGAGCCCACGGGGATGACAACTGAGATGGAAAAAGGCACAAAATGATGGAAAAGTAAACTATTATATATATATGTATATTAAAAAAAAAAAAAGTACTCTTGGAGACCCTCCCTGGTGGCGCAGCGGGTTAAAGCACAGCACTGAGAAGCTAAAGCCGCTTCCGCATGAGTTCGATCCCCACTCCGGAGCTGACCCACAGGGCGCGGCAGACCTCTCCTGACCTGCCTGCTCCCCTCAGCAGTGGACTTCGTCGATCTGCCCGTTCTGCTCCCCACTGTCTCTGGTGAAGCCTCTCACCGCCACTGCACCTCTGGCCCATACCCCAGTTCTATATGCACAATTAAATAAATCTTTAAAAAAAAAGTATTCTTGGAAAACTGACTTTGCCTACAAGAAAACTCACTTAATCGGCTGTGCCGTCCCAGCCCAGATGCAGATATTTTCATTAGGTTGGTAAATATCTTGCCTGGAGAGATATACAGCCTCCCCGATAAGGGGGGTTCCACCCCCCACTTTCTAGACAGGTGGGCCCTGCTTCCTGTTGTCTGTCTCCTGCTCAGCAGAAGCCTCCCCGATGCCCACGTCCCCCAAATCCACAACCAGGGAATTCTCCCCTTCGGCCAGCGTACCTTTAACACCTGCCCTTTCCCATTCCCCTAAAGCCCCCAAGGTCAAGAAACCACCCAGGAGGCTCCCGGGAAGCTCACCAGGCACACACAGACCGTGCAGTTCTCCTCGGGCAGCGAGAACACGTCCCCTTCGGCGTGGGTGACGCCACCGTGAAAACAGCCTTGAAAGACAGACGAGCAGGCATCACACCTCCTCAGAGAAGAGGAAGCTTGACTCCCATTACTTCTCCAGGCATGAACACCTGGAAACTTCTCTCCCTGGCCCGGATGTCCCTGGACCAACAGACTCGAGTAACCAGAATGGTCCTGGGACCCTGGAGGAGCCAGCAGACACGGGACACCCTGAAGGCTTCACTTGATAAGCCCAGACGGAGCTGGAAGTGAGGCGCTTGGTCCCCATGAGGCAGGACAGGCCGCCAGCAGCCTGGGTTCCAAGCCTCGCCTGCCTGTCCAGTGGTAGCCCGAACGACCTTGACATGACCCCTAACCTCCCTGGGACTCCCTGTCTTGACTGCAACGGGGACACCCGCCGGTGGCCTGCAGGGCCCTCAGGGGAGCCCACACCCCAGATATAAAGTGCCCAGGACTCAGGGACACGGTCCAAGTTCACAAGTTACTAGGAAAATGAGCCTCTGCGCTTGCAGCCCAGGGCCGGGCCTCCGCGCCCACAGCCACAGCCACAGCCGGCCAGGGGCTGCGCAGACATGCAGGCGCTCCGGCCCCCCACCAGGCCCGCGAAGGGGCTCTGCACTTGAACGAGACCCCAGCATTCACGTGGGGGGGATTCTGAGAGGTCTGGTGGAGAACCGTTAAGTTCTGGGGTCACTACCCTAACAGTGATGGAGAGCAAGGAAAAGCTGTAGGCAGAGGGCCGGGAGGAACTGGAGAGGGGGGAGGAGCGGACAAACCTCTGGCTGGAGATGGGGCGCGGGGCAGGGGCAGGGGACACAGAGCGGATTTGCTGAAAGGGGAAGCGGGGGAGGGTCAAAAGGGCTCCCCAGAAGGTAAGGCCCCGGGAGGGCTCTCCTGCACTGACCAGGGTCCTCACCGTGGGGTCCCAGGCTCGCAATAATTGCAAATTCTGTGCCCCAAACCACACCTGCGAAACAGACGCGCTGAGGGTGCGGCCCAGGGAACGGACTTGTCATTCAGAGTCGGGGGGACACTCAGACCCCGCCAGCCCCTACCTGTACATGTCGGGCAACAGTCCCCGCCTCCAGGGGGAATCGGGTGGGAACAGGCGGCTTCACACGGCACCTTTTCACAGGTCACGTCCCCGTCCTGGAAACAGAAGCAGGGCTCCAGCCCCCAAAGGCCCAGACGGGGGCGGGGGGTAGCCCGAGGACCCCCACATCCTCAACCCACCTCACACTGGCACTGGGAACACCCGGGCTCCGTCCAGCGGCTGCCCGCCGGGTACATGGCCCCCTGGCGCCAGCACGCGGTGGGCGCCAGTGGTGGCTGAGTGGCTGCGGGACCCCGGGGCCGGGAGGGGGTCACCACCGCCTCCTGGAGGTGTGAGGGGGGTCCGAGGGTCCCTACCAGGGGGGCGCTGGACACAGGGGTGGGCCGCAGCAGCACTGGAGCAGACGGGGAGGACGGGGCTGGTGCAGGGGTGGGAGGCGGCAGGCGGGTGGTCCTGACTCCGATCGGGGGTCCTGGAGCCCCAGGCGGGGGGCTGTGTCCTGGGGAGAGGGCTGGCTGGCCGGCCTCCGGGAGCAGCAGCAGCATCTTGGGCGGGTGCTGCAGGGGCTGCAGGATGGCGGATGGGGCCAGCGCGGCCTTTGGGAGAGCTGAAATGGAAACGGGGCTCTTGACGGAGGCAGCGGGGTGGCGTTGAGACCGGGGGCCTGGAGGCGACGCCACACGCCCAGGGCTAGGGGCCACCGAGGGGCTCTCAGCGGCCAGGGCGGCGGCCCGGGCCACCCAAGCAGAGGGATGGACAAGACCAAGAGCGTGGGGAAGGTCCAGGAGGTGACCACGCCTCCGAGGCCCGGCTGCTGTGGGGACAAGCCCTCCTCCCCGCTGCTGCCGGGAGATCTGCGTCTTCCTGAGCCACACAGACTGCCTTGACCCTCAGGGTGTCTGGGAAGGGCCCTCCCCGCCTCCTCCACCCCAACAAGTGGGGAGGTGTCCCCCGCTCCCCCAGCCAGGTGTGGCTTCCCAGGACAGGATGTCTTAGCCAAACACACACACCCCCCACACTCGGGAGGAGAAAGGTGTCTGCAGCGGAGACCCCACAGCCCAGAGGCCAGTGGGGGAGGGGGCTGGCAGCCCACGGACATCCCCGGTCACGGGAAGCGCGCCATGAACTAAAAGGCATTTCGGGGTACATGTGGCATAGAGGTAAGTCCACAGGCACCAGCACGGAGGGCCCTGGCCCACACAGTCCCAGGGATCCCCCAAGCCAGCTCACGGGGCTCCTTGCTCACATAGCCTCCAGCATTGGCTTGGGGTTGTGTTTTTTCGCCCTTTAAGCAACCATTGTGGGGGGAAACAGAAGGGTTAGGGAGACAGTGGTAAGTTCAGGGAAGAAGAAAGTATGAAGCGGAAGGGGGTCTCCCTGGTGGTGCAAGGGGGTGTCTCAGTGCTATGAAGCTATTGCCCCCCGCTGCAGCACAAGTTCCATCCCCCGCCAGGGAGCTGCCCACATGATGCAGCTGACCCCTCCCGTCCCCAGGCTGCCCCTCAGCAGTGGATTTCAGGGGATCCGTCTGTTCTGCTCCCGACTCTGTCTCTGGTGAGTCCACACACACACACATCCCTCTGACACACACCCCAGTTCTTCTATGTATAAATAAATAAATAAATATTTAATTTTTAAAAAGTGGAAATGCAAAAATTTACAAAGGAAGTGGGGTGCTGGAAGTGCAACAAACTGAAAGAGGAAGCGGCAGGAGTGAGGGCTGGGGCCAGGGACTTGGGGTGGGGCTTTGCTGGG